ACCTAATCCTGGGTCACTGAAGCAGCTTTGTTGTTATTCATTTACTGTTGTCATTTATTTATTTTGGGGTGAAGGGAATACTCCCAGCAGTGCTGGTGGACCACATGCAGTGCCCACGAGCAATGTGGGGGCAGCTGTGTGCAAGACAGGTGTTTTACCCCTGTTCTCTCTCCTCTGCTCCCCCCCCCCACTCCAGAGAACAAAAATCTCCATTCCTATGCCCTCCCTCACCACTGCTCCATCCCTCGTTTTAGGGTACCCTGAGCTCCCCACTCACCTGTACCAGGTCAAGCTGGTCCACTTAGTACCCGCAGTACTTCCTTCCACACTCACCAGAGCCAACACTGCTCTAAAAGTTCTCATTTCTTTCTGTTGTCTGGGTCACACCTGGCAATATTCAGGGCTTACTCGATTCTGCATTCAGGAATCACTTCTGTGGGTGCTCAGGGGACAATATTGGATGCTGGGGATCAAACCAGAGTCGGTTGCATGCAAGGCAAGCACCTTACCTGCTGTACTACCTCTCCAGTCTTAAAGTCCTCGTTTCTTTTTTTTTTTTTTTTTGCTTTTTGGGTCACACCCAGTGATGCACTGGGGTTACTCCTGGCTCTGCACTCAGGAATTACTGAGTGCTCGGTGGTGCTCGGGGGACCATATGGGATGCTGGGAATTGAGCCCGGGTTGGCCGTGTACAAGGTAAATGCCCTACCTGCTGTACTAGCGCTCCAGCCCCCTCATTTCTTATTATGAATGTTTTTTTAGTTAGTTCAGCAACACCTATTTCTCCTCATTCACCTCCTCACTTTTTTGGCTTTTTTGTTTTTTTTTTAGAGGGAGGCTGGAGGATATACCCAACTGTGCTCAGGGCTCATTCCTGGCCCTATCCTCAGGAATTGCTCCTGGAGGTGCTCAGGGGACCACATGAGGTGTCAAGGATCAAACCCAGGTTGACACCTGCAAAGCAAGTGACTTACCCGCTATACTATTGTACTATCTCTTTAACCCCCTTCCCCAGAAATATTTAAAGAATGAATTATTTCATGAATTACAAAGATAATAATCCAAGGTAAATTCATAGACAAACACGAGTCTAACCTTGGAGATAAGACCTAGGTTAAAGGTAACTTGTTGGAGGGCCTAAGATTATCCAGACAGAGCTGCCTTCTGCACCGTGATTGCCCTTTGGGGTTAATATTTAAGTGGTATCCGTGAGGAGACTGCTTGTCCCGGAGTGCTTCACCAATTTGGGCTTGGATGAGCAAACGTGGTTCCACCTGCCGGCCCTGTGGGACTTTTGAGACCTTGTGCCTGTATCAGTTTTGTTTTTCTGGATTGCAAAACCCTAATCTCTGAGCCTTGAGTAGTGAACATCTTTTACTGCCAAGAGATAAGACCCAGGAGAAAGCAAGCTCCTCGGCCCAGGCGGGAGTTGGGATGACGCCTCGGCAGAGCTGCCTCAGAGGAGCACGGGGTACGATGTATGCTCTGTCCGGAGCCCTCCACGTTCCGGGGCGCTTTTGGCCTCTGCTTTGACTCCCCATGACCTGGAGAAATCACATATTTCCTGCCCTTCCCAGCTGGGGAAACTGAGGGCTCTCAGCCAGACCTGTCAGTAAGCAAGGAAAGGTTGCTTTCTGTGTCCTTGGGCCATGCCTGGCCGTGCTCTATTGCTCTATGCTTCAGAGTGACCCTGGCAGTGCTGGGGTGGTGTGGATGGGGAGTGGAGGGACCATACGTAGTGCCTGGGCTGAGCTGCATGCAAGGAAAGTCTTGAGTCTTATACTATTTACCAACAACCTTTTATTTTTTTGCTTGTTTGGGGACCACATCCAGTGATGCTCAGGGCTCACACCTGGTGATGCCAGGGTTTGAATCTGAGGTGGGCTGTGAAGCAAGTTCTTTAACCCCTGTATCTTTTTCTTAGGGGGTGGGAGGCACACCTTGTGGTGCTCAGGAATTACTCCTGGTGGTGCTCGGGGGACCATATAGGATGCTGGGGACTAAACCCAGGCCAGTCCCCTGCAGACAAGTGCCTCACCCCTGTATCTTATTGGCTCTATTTATCTCTAAGGCCCTGAGAGTAAGATTTAATCGACCTTGAGAGATAGTACAGGGGATAGGGCACTGGTCTTGCACGGGGCCGACCCACTCTAGTACCTTTCCTGGCACCACATATGGTTCTCTGTTCCCTACCAGGAGTGATCCTTTTGCACAAACCCAGAAGGAAGCCCGAGCACTGCGGGGTGTGGCCCAAGCCTCAAGGAAGTAAGTAGATAAATCAAATGTAGGTTCTTACTTGGTGGGCGTGAGGCAGGCCCATGACCCAGGACCCACGCGGAGCAGCCCACAGCAGGGCGTGGAAATGGGAGCTGTGGGAGAAGCCACTGCTGCAGAATCTTTAGGGGCATCCAGAGCCCGTGTGCCATCTCAGGTGGGGGCTCTGTCCCTGCTGCCCTGGTCCCAGGGGACGTGACGGGCACAGCTCTTGGCCGAAGCCCACACCAAGGCTCATGCCCTTCGGGGACCACATGGGTTCACAGGCTGTTCTTTGTGCCCTGCTGTGAGTAAGCAGCTCCCCACATCGTCCATTTGACCCTCACGATTACCCGCAAGCCAGGTATTTGTTTTGCTTCCCAAGAAGAAACCAAGGTCCCAGAGGAAGTTTGCCCCAAACTGTCCTTAGTAAGATGGGATAACGCCCTTTACTTGCCCTGAGACCACCACCGAGGGGCTGGAGAGATCACACAAGGGTGAAGGCACTTGTCTTGCACTCAGCCAACCCTGATGCGATCTCTGGTACCATGCAGGGTCTCCTGAGCACGGCTGGGTATGATCCCAAACCCTCTCATTTCCCCCAAACCAAAAAATCACGATAGGGGCTGAAGCGATAGCACAGCAGGTACGGCATTTGCCTTGCTCGCAGTCAACCTGGGTTCGATTCCCAGCATCCCATGTGGTCCCCCGAGCATCGTCAGGAGTAATTCCTGAGTGCAGAGTCAGGAGTAACCCCTGAGCATCACTGGGTGTGACCCAAAAAGAAGAAAAAAATCACGACAGTCACACGCCAAGGAAGCCAGGGAAGTCCCAGAGCTAAGAGGGTTTATGACCTTGTGAAGGTCAACAGGAAGTCAAGGTCGTGGCTGTCCCCTTACCAGCCCCCCACCTGGCCACAGTATCTGGCTTGAGCCGGCTGCCAGGGAGGCTCACCCAGGTGGCTGTGACGGTCACCAGGCAGACACGCCCGAAGGGCACTGCTGTGGAGGCAGAGGGCAGGAGTCACTTAGGAGGCGACCCAGGGACCTGCCCGTCTCCTCAGAGGAACACGTTGTCCCAAGACTCCAACACTCGCGGCTTCGCATCTTCCTTCTCCACCGTGCCTGGCTGCCCACACGCGCTGCGCCGGGCGGGGCCCTGGATGAAGGGAACCAGCACAGTTCCGGGGCTGGACAGTGCCCTGGAGCCGACCCTCGCCAGCCTAGCAAAGCCCTGAACCAAGAGCCTGTAAACTTGCTCCCGTCTGGGAAAACAACAGGCAGACTTTCCACGTTTGTGAAAACGACGCCTGGGGACTCTCGCAGGCAACCTCCGCCCCTCACTGACCGGGTCAGCTTCCCGTAGGTGTGTGTCCGCAGTGCCCTGGGATCCTGGCAAGGGGTGTGGACATGCCCTGAGCACACCCCCCCAGGGGATAGAGATATTTGTTCCACAAGTCTGACATTTGTTTGTGTGGGGGCCACGTCCAGCGGTGCTCAGGGCTTACTCCTGGCTCTGTGCTCAGAGAGCACTCCTATCACGGCTCAGGGGACCATATGGGAAGCTGGGAGCAAACCCGGGCCGACTGCGTGAAGCACCTTACCCACTGCACTACCCAGCAGCTCCGCCATCTGGTTTGCATGGTCTCTGCTCTTAGTACCCTATGACTAGACGTACAAGGCAGGAAACTACTGACAATGCCTGTAACAGAATGAAGCCAGGCCCAAGAGAGAGCATGCTGATTACGGCACTAGCCTTAGATGTGGCCGGTCCCAACTCTGTCTTTGCAAACACTTCCCAGAATAAAGCTTTATTCCTCACATCTTCCCTGTCAAAGCCCAAGAATTTGAAAGGGAAATGCAGGCCCCTCCCTCCCTGCAGGCTGCTTCCCTCTCCCTGCTCCTCTTCTCCTTAGTTCCTTTCTTTTTCCCATCTTCCTGCCCTCCTTGGGAGGATTCGTCTAGGTTCTCAGGGACAGCCCAAACATGGACACCTCCACCCCCTCCAACCGCCTATGAACTCAGACCCCTGGCCTGCCAGGGCTGCTCAGTGCCATCTCTCCCGGTTCCCAATGTCCCTAGGACTGAACTCTTCCAACTCTGAACTCATCCTCCCCACAAACTTCCGATCTCAGCAGACAGCAGCATTTCCAGGCTTCCAGTCACCTACGGCCCAAACCTCAGAGTAAGAAAACAACACAGGCTGAACCCTGGGGCCGAAGAGATAGTACAGCGGGTACCGTGATTGCATTGTATGCGGCAGACCCAGGTTCAAGCCCTGGCATCCCATATGGTCCCCCAAGCACCACCAGGAGTAATTCCTGAGTGCAGAACCAGGAGTAACTCCTGAGCATCGCTGGGTATGACCCAAAAAGCAAAAAAAAAAAAAAAAAAGACAGGCTGACCCAAGTTGAATCCTTGGCCCTGCCAGGAGTGATCCCTGGGCATAGAGGCAGGAGCAAGCCCTGAGCACTGCTGTGTGTGCTCAACCCCTACCCTGAAATAAATCAAGCTAATCCTGGATATAAGACTCCATTAAGGGGCTGGAGCGATAGCACAGCAGGTAGGGCATTTGCCTTGCACGCAGCTGACCTGGGTTTGATTCCCAGCATCCCATATGGTCCCCCGAGCACCGCCAGGAGTAACTCCTGAGTGCGTGAACAGGAGTAACCTCTTTGCAATGCCAGGTGTGACCCAAAAAGACGCCATCAAGCTAATCCTGAATATAAGACTCTGGAGTCAATGAAATGCTTTCGCAAATATGTTCAAAGTTAACTCATTTTATTTTTAAGCCTAGGATTTGGATTTGACGATTTTAATCTCTCTTGAATAGAAGTCACTTTGTGAAAGCTAGGAAACAAAATCAAACCAAGTCTAGTCCTGTAGGGAGCCAGGCCACATGTTCCGTAAAATTACATAATACAAGGTGCTAACAAGGAGATTATATAAACTCTAAATAATAACCACTTATCTACATTTTCCTTAGGAAACAGCCAAAAGTCCAGTCCTTCAAGGCATGATATACAGAACATCTTCATCTACAAAAGGACAGAACACCCAAATCGTCTGCTGGCCAACCCACGGATGACCCGGCTCAGAGCTGGCCAAGGATTGGTGATGAAAGTGTTCACATTCTGAAAACTTGCTCTGAGGTTAAGAAAATTCCTGACTGCAGTGAATAAGCGAAAGCAGGCAAAACTAATGACAAAAAAGAGTCACACTGGCACTTTGGTATGGCCACAGTCTCCCACCAGAACATGAAGTCAGAGGTGAGGGAAGGTGCCATGCAGATGTTCCAGAACTACTCGGGAAGCAGGAAGCTGACACACGGCCGCCCTCCGTTTGCCACGGGAACACACGGACAAGGAGGCCTACGTGCAAGAACGGCTCAATCTCACGTGGCGTAGCACAGTACTTTCTCCGACAGAACGCCCGCCCTTCCCCAAATGCTATTAACCTCGTTAGCCGTCAACAACACATACGCATACGGAAAAACTTGTCTGGAGCACTTGCCAGGAGCAAAGCAGAACACGTCCTAATTAGCTAGACATGGCAAGCTCAGTGACCGTCTGTAGGCTGGACCCATAAATCTGGCCTTTTTGTGTGTGAAACATCTGCAGACTGCAATGTTCCGAAGCTGTTAGCATAGTTCCTGCTCAAGGTCTGAAAGCTGGGCTCAGTGCCTTTGGTGGCTCTTCTCCTCAGCTGCTGGGGTGGGTTCTAGTCATCGAAGTCCGGAATGTCGTCATAGGAGTATCCCCGGTAGCCCTTGGAGGCATAGTAGGCGATGCGCAGGTGGTAGAAGCCAGGCAGGAACACCAGGATGCCAATGATGAGGACAGGTATGGCCCGGTCTGCCCCCTGGTGGCCGGACAAAGAAATTGCATTAGAACTGAATCAGCTGTAACCACATTAGGCAGGCTGATACATACATCAATACCGTATGCTTTGCGGATCATTTCTTTTGTTATGTTACCGAAGGAAAAGGTTTATGCCTCATTTCCTCATGAGTATAAAAGGCAGAAAAACTGGAGTCAGAGAGATAGGACAGCAGGTAGGGCGCTAGCCGTGCATGTGGCCAAACTGGATTCAATCGTCAGTATTCCATATGGTCCACCAAACGCTGCGAAGAGTGATCTCTGAGCTCAGGGCCAAGAGTAAGACCTGAGCACTGCTGGGGGTGTATGTGTCCCAAATGAAAGCTAGAAACCTCATTTGACCCCGCAATACCACTCCTGGGAATATATCCGAGTGTGCAAAATAAAAACACAGTAGAAATGACATCTGCACCTGTATGTTCATCGCACCTCTGTTCACTATAGCCAGAATCTGGAACAACCCAAGCACCCGAGAACAGATGAATGGTTAAAGAAACTTTGGTACATCTACACAATGAAATACTATGCAGCTGTTAGGAGAGATGAAGTCATGAAATCTGCTTCTAAGTGGATGGACATGGAGAGTATCATGCTAAGTGAAACGAGTCAGAAAGAGAGGGACAGACATATTATATTCCACAGACAGACATATTATATTCCACTCATTTGTGGAATATAAAATAACATGAGACCGACACCCAAGGACTATAGATACAAGGGCCAGGAATACTGTCTCATGAGCTGGGGGAGAAGGCAGCTGGAATAGAGAAGGGATCACTAAGAAAAAGATGGCTGGAAGAATCTGTCGGGATAGGAGATGTGTGCTGAAAGTAGATAAAGAACCAAACGTGATAACCTCTCAGTATCTGTATTGCAAACCATAATGCCCAAAAGTAGAGAGAGAGTGTGGGGAAAATTGTCTGCCATAGAGGGAGGGGGAAGGCTGGAAAGGGGGGTGTATACTGGGGAGATTGGTGGTGGAGAATATGCACTGGTGGAGGGACGGGGATGGGTGTTTGAACATTCTATGATTGAAACTCAAACATGAAAGCTTGTAACTGTATCTCAATGAGTCAATTAAAAAAAAAGTAGGAAACCCGTAAAATACATATCCAGTGTTATTTAGGGATATTTTGTGGAACAACTGCACTGGGCCTTGATTTTATTTAACAGGCAATAAGGCAGTAAGGGAAGGGCAGTGTGGCTCAGTGCACACACCTCACACCGCAAATTAATCAAAACAGATGAGCAGGGTCAGAGAGAATGTATGGGGGGAAAGGCATTTGCCTAGTATGTGCTGATCCTAGTTCAATCCCCACTACTGAATATGGCTGCCCGAGCACAGAGCCAGGAGTAACCCTCAAGCACTGCTAAGTGTGCCTCCTTCCCCCGAAAGACAAGCAACTGACCAAAAATTCTACATATATTCATTTATTTGTAGCTTGGGGGTCACACGTGGCCACACTTGGCAGTGCTCAGGAGGCCATGGTAAGGTACCAGGGCTCATTCCCAGGCCTCCTGAATGCAAAGTACGTGTGCAGTCTGTTACCTGCGGTTCTCTATGTAGACTTAAATCCTAATGACTCAACAGAACATCGTGGAATGGGAGAACCACAATTTTATTTACCTCACTTCAGACTGCTGGATACTTCTGTTATCTCTTACTTTTTGTAACTTACTTTTAGAATACCACAATGACTTTTTGTATTTTTCTTAGCCTTTCAGATTTACTTCCTTACTATAAACTGCTAGGAGTATAATTCACAAGTCAAAGAAGAATAATGTATAGATTCTTCACCAGGAAGGCTTCAACTTTTTGTTTTTTGGGGGGGCCACACTCAGAGATGCTCAGAGATCACAGCTGGGGGAACTTGGGGGGGCCATATGGGGTGCTGGGAATCGAACCTGGGCCAGCAGAGTGCAGGGCAAGTGCCTTACCTGCTGTACCGTTTAGAAAGATTCAGTTTTTTAGGAAGCATCATGAGGGTGGGAATTTTGTTTATCCTGGAATGTCCAGCTGTGCCTGACAAGTAACTGACAAGTAACTGTTGAAAATGCCACTGACCAAGCAAGTGGAAGCACGCTTAAAAAAGGGGGGGGACTATATTAAATGAAGAAACTTCTGGGGCCGGAGAGATAGCACAGCGGGCAGGGTGTTTGCCTTGCACACAGCCAACCCGGGTTCGATTCCCAGCATCCCATATGGTCCCCTGAGCACCGCCAGGAGTAACTCCTGAGTGCAGAGCCAGGAGTAACCCCTGTGCATCACCGGGTGTGACCCAAAAAGCAAAAAAACCAAACAAACAAGAAACTTCTGCGACACAAAGGAAATGAAGACAAATACAAAAATAGTCCGCAGATGGGGAGAAATTATTGCCCACCACTTATCTGATAAGGGGTTAATAATATCCAAGATATGTAAGGCACTGGTAGAACTTTACAAGAAAAAACCTCCCATCTAGAAATGGAAGAGATGAACAGACACTTCCTCAACAAGAAATACAAACAACCAAAAGGCACATGAAAAGATGCTATACATTACTAATCATCAGGGAGACGGAAATCAAAACACGATTTCATCCCACACCACAGAGACTAGCACACATCAAAAAGAACAACAACAACAGTGCTGGAGTAGATACAGGGACAAAGGGGACTCTCACCCGTTGCTGGTGGGAATATTGACTGGACATTTCCTTTTTGGAAAACAACATGGACATGTCTAAAAACACTAGGACTGAGCTTTCAGTTGAGCCAGTAACCCCACTTCTTAGAACATATCCCAGGGCCCGTGAACAAAACGGACAGAAACATCCTCACCCCTCTGTTCTGAGCAGCACCTGCCACACAGCCCAATGTGGAAAGAACCCAAGTGCCCAGGAATAGGTGACCGGGTAAAGAAGCTGCGGTATAGAAGCACAATGGAAAATTACTCATCCATAAAGATAAAATCAAGCAATTTTCTGCTACTCGGATAGATCTGGCGTGTACTGTGCAGGGTGTAGTTAGAAGAGGGACTGACGCCGCGTGATCTCTCTCATACGCAGCTATAAAGAAATGTAACGTGGAGCAACAAATGCCCAAAGACAACAGAAACAAAGACCATGAGAACTGGTCTTCAGCAGGAAACATGGCACTTGGGGCAGGGGTGGGCGGGTGCAGGGAGCCGGGGGATTGGACAGGAGGGGACAATGACGATGCAGGAGGGGAGTGTCCCACGGGAGGCGGCAGTGCCCTGTCAGTAACAGCAACTCATGGAAACAAAACACGTCACGGAGAGGCAGAACGGTGGGTAGGAGGCAAATGGGAGCGAGGGTGGGGGGCACTGGCGGAGGGAAGTGGACACTGGTAAGACAGGAGTTGAGGCGGCTGGAGCAATAGCACAGCGGGTAGGGTGTTTGCCTTGCATGCGGCCGAGTCGGGTTTGATTCCCAGCATCCCATATGGTCCTCCAAGCACCACCAGGAGTGATTCCTGAGCGCAGAGCCAGGAGTAACCCCTGAGCATCGGATGGGTGTGATCCAAAAAGAAAAAAAAAAAAAAAGACAGGAGTTGAGACATTCCATGTCTGAAACCAGTCATGAGTAACTGCCATTTCATGGTGACCGTGTGACTAAGTGTGTGCCATGATGGATCTGCTTTTATGAACTGCTCTTCTGTCCTGTTCCACTTTTGGGGTCACCATTCCTACCATGGTGCGCAGGGCTGGAATGGGGTCTCCAGCACTCCGCCCCCTGGGAGGGGGTGTGGGGGACACCAGCAGTGCAAGGCAAGAGCCCCACCTGTTACTGTTATGGTTTCTTTATAGGTGGTGCCTGCTCGCTGGATGCTGGCGGGGGGGGACCCCTTTTGGTTTGGGAGCCATACCCAGTCAGCGGCTATTCCTAGATTTCTGTCAGTGCTCTGGCCAGGGGTCACTTGCTTCCAGCAATGCTTGGGGGGACCATGTAGTGGCAAAGATCAAGCCCAGGCCTCCCACATGCAAAGCCTGCATCTGGCCCTGCATTTGGCGCTCTCTCCACTATGCCGCCCGCCCCTGCCACCCACCCACACACACTACACACACCCCCCAGTTAATCTTTTACTGGGGCTTTTGGGCCACACCCTGCAGCATGCAGGGGTTATTCCTCGCTCTGCTCAGGGGACCATATTCAGTGCCTGGAGATCAAACCAGGTGAGCGACATGCAAGCTAAGTACCTTACTTCTATCTACCTAGCTCCTAGTTTTTTATTTGTTTTTAAGACACACCCGGCAGTGCTCAGGGGTTACTCCTGGCTCTGCACTCAGGAATTTCTCCTGGCGGGCTCAGGGGACCATATGGGGTACCGGGGATCGAAGCCTGGTGGGCCACGTGCAAGGCAAGCGTCCTACCTGTTGTACTGTAACTCTAGTCCCTAGTTAGTTTTAATATCTATAAGAATTAGGTAGCTGTTACATGTACCCTAATGTAATGCAGCAGCAATGGTTCTCAAAATGAGGCCCCTGGCTTTATCTGGAAACTTGTCAGAAACGAAAATCTCACACCCTGCCTCAGACCCACAGAACTAGAACGTCTGTATTCTTTTCTCTCTCTCTCTCTTTTTTTTCCTTTTTGGGTCACATCCAATAACACAGCGGTTACTCCTGGCTCATGCACTCAGGAGTTACTCCTGGCAATGCTCGGGGACCCTATTAGGGATGCTGGGATTCAAACCCAGGTCGGCTGCATGCAAGGCAAACGCCCTATCTGCTGTGCTATCATTCCAGTCCCTCTTTTCTCTTTTTAGAATTAGAATCCCTGACCAGTGGGGTGAAGGGAGCTGTGTATAAACAAGCTGGCAGGTGATTCTGACCGACAATGAAAGTCTGAGAGCTAACAAAGTATTCCTGTGAAATAAAATAATCTTCCTGGGGACCAAAGAGAGTTCAATGGGGAAAGCGCTCTTCTTGGTTTTTTTTTTTTTTTTTTGCTTTTTGGGTCACACCTGGCAATGCACAGGGGTTACTCCTGGCTCTGGCTCTGCGCTCAGGAGACCATATGGGATGCTGGAAATTGAACCCGGGTCGGCCGCATGCAAGGCAAACGCCCTACCCGCTGTGCTATTGCTCCAGCCCCGAAAGTGCTCCTCTTACAAGCTGCCACGATGACTTCCCAGCATCACTTATGGTCCCCAGGAAGCACTAGGGATGGCCTAAAACAATTCTTCCTACAACAGAACAAAAATTCAAGTCTAAGCAAGTCTCCAAACCTAACATCTTGGGCCGAAGCAGAGAGTACAGCAGGTAGGGCGTTTGACTCGCTGCAGCCAACCTGGGTTTGACCCTCAGTTTCCCAAACGGTCTCCCAAGCACCACCAGGAGTAATTCCTGAGTGCGGAGCTGGGGTAATCCCTGAGGACCGCCGAGGGAAAAAAGAAGTCTCACATCTTGTAAGAAATATGAGGAACAAAACAACAAAAATAACATTAAGACAAAACCTGTAGATGGAAGTAAAAATGAAATGGGGGCTGGAGCGGGAGTACAGTGGGTAGGGCATTTTGCCTTGCACCTGTCTGACCAGGGATTTGAGCCCTACGCCTCAACTGGTCCCCTGAGCCTACCAGAAGTAATTATTGATTGTAGAGCCAGGAATAACCCAAGTACTGCCCCAAAACAAAACAAAACAAAACAAAACAAAACAAAGAGTATACTGAAGAGGTGAAGAGGCACATTAAGAACTCACCAGTGAAATGTAAATACGGTATCTTCCCTAATACACAAAAGAAGTTGAAGGGACAGATGAAAAGAAGACACCTGTAACTACTGATGCTGGGTCATGAACACCTGGAGTTCATTATTTGTCTACTTGTCTTGTTTGGAATGGCTACATCAAATTGGGGGTGGGGAGTATAAACTGGTCTCTTATAAACTACATGCACACTATGATAATAAAAATAAAGGAGTGTAAGTGGTAATACGGTAGGCAGAGCACTTGCTTTGCATGTGGCCAACCCCGACGGCCTGAGTTTGATCCTCAGCATCCCATTATAAGCCCCTGAGACCACCAGGAGTGATCCCTGAGCATCAAGACAGGAATAAGCCCTGAGCACTCTGAGTGTTGCCCCAAAGTCAGAAGAATAAAGTAAAATAAACCACCAGAGAGAAGATCTGATGGCATATGGATCTTTTGTGTGTGAGAGATACATAGCTACAAAGTTGCTCATGGTTGAGTTTCCATCACTGAAAACTATTTCCCACCACCCATGTTTCCAGTTTCTCTCCTGCCAATCTACCTCTGCCTCTGTGCCAAACACTTTTTCTTCTTTTCCCTCCGTTTCTTATAGGCACTGTGGTTTGCAGTGCTGCACTACATATGGATATTAATTCACCTCTCAATTTTTTTTTTTGTAGTGTGGAGAATCAAGCCCAGGGTATCAAATATATGAGCATGTTCTCTACCACTGAGTTACATTCTTCACCCTCTTCTCGAAATTGTTTTTGGGCTATACTTGGCTGTGCTCAGGATTTACTCCTTGTTCTCTGCTCTCTTTATTACTCTTGGTGGGCCTGGGGGGGGGGGGGGACCATAAGGTGTGCCAGGTGCCAGGAAATTGAACCTATTGGCTGCATGCAAGGTAAGCTGTACCAATTCTCTGGCCCTTCTCTCTTTTTTTTGGGGGGGGGGGCAGAGCCAGCTGTGCTCAAGGCTGAGTCCCGGCTCTGCATTCAAAGATGCCTGGGGGTGGGGCCTGGGCAACCACATGGGATGCATCAGTGACTGCTGACAGTGTTTATCTCTGGCACGGAGAGTGCCCACAGCACCAACGGGGACCTGAAGCTGCAGCTCAAACTCACACCTCTCACCACCTGGGTCAGTGCCATGGACCCTACCGGGGCCCTGGTTCAGAACTCTGATGCCAGGCCCGGCTTGGATATTCTAATTTATGACAGTGGGGAAATGTTAGTGTCTCGGGGGGGTGGGGGGGGGGGGAATGTCTGCTACCAGCCACATCTGCCAAGTAGAAACTGTGGGAAAAGCCTCATGGTACTCAAAGGAAGAGAGACACAGTTTGTTACCTAAGAACTATAAAAGCCAGTCCTCTCCTTCCTGCTGGATGACGCTGGGCTGGGTGTTGATAGCAAAACAGCAAACCCTAGCCCAGCTCTGGGAGAGTAGGTGCACACTCCCGCGCAGCCAGCCGTCAGCTTACCCCTTTGCTGATGTAGCCAGCCAGCAAGAGGGAGCCGATGATGATGAGGAAGGCGCCGATCAGAAACAGCACTGTCGCCAGGGCGATGGCCTTGTACGGGATCTTTGGAGGACTTTTCTTAAACTGGAAGAGAAGCCAAAAGCCAAAAAACAAAAGTCAAGGAACTATTACGGTGAGACCTGGGCTCGTGAACTGCAAAGTAAAGGATGAGGAGAACTGAGCTGGGTCCTTAAAGGTCTTGAATTACACCCTCGTGTCCAGCACAGCTCTGGCCAGGAAAAAAAGGTACAGGCAGCAGCGGCAGCTCTGTCCACACGAGAACCCCCACACCAAGGAGTCCCAGCAGAGGTGTCATCTTAGTTCTGTGCTCCCATCGTTTACTCTACCAAGTGTGGCTCAGAAGCAGAGCGCATGACTCACAGGGGTCAGGCTCTGGGTTCACTGTCCAACACAGAGGAACAGTGGGTAGGGGGCAAAATGGCACCTCGGTGGGCTGCTCACACGCTTCGCATGCAGGAAGCTCAGATTGGATTGCTGGTACCATATGGGTCCAGGCCCCACCAGGAGGAGCATCTAAGCACTGTTGAGTGTGGCCCCCCAAACAAAGCGAACAAAAAAATTACTTTCTTCCAAAAATATCAGGTCAGAGATAGTACTGGGTTATGGTAGACACTTGCCTGGCATGCTAAATTTACTCTGGCTTGAACTCAGTACTGAGTCAGGTCCCCCAAGCACCATCAAGGGTCACTCCTGAGCACAGAGCCAGGAATAACTCCTGAACACTGCCCCTTCCAACCAAACCAAACCAACCCCCAGCCCCCACCCCCAGCTGGAGCCATAGTACAGAGGGTAAGGTGTTGGCCATGCCGGGGTTCCCATATGGTCCCCTGAGCCCTGCCAGGAGTGATCCCTGAGTGCAGAGCCTGGAGTAGACTTTAAATACCATCAGCTGTGGCCCTGAAACAGACAAAAAACCAAACCAATTTCCTAATGTCTGTTTCAATGCTGTAGCTGACCTTACTTGCTGGAAGGTTCCCTAATGTATTTTCTGTTTCAGCCACATCCTTGGTATATCCCTAATGTATGGGGGGGGTGGGTGCGGGAGGTGGATGTGACAAGATGACATGACAACATCCTTCAAGAGTAGATCCAAAGAGTACAAAGAATAATCGATCTGTTTATACTTAAAAGCTTGGGTTCCTTCCTACGTCCATCCAGAGCATTCAACTCCAGGCAAAAAGGAGATGCTAAACCATTTAGGTCCAACTTAATATTCTGCTTCACTTACTGTTTGCCACAATGAATACATACCTTCAATAAATGAAATCTTATGGTATCAGGAAAGAAGGAAGAGTTCCAGAATCAACTGCCTTTAACTTGTAATTTCTCCCTTAAAAGATGAACTGGATTTAGGACCAGAGATGTAACAGTGGGCAGGGAGTTTGTCTTGCATATGGACAACCTGGGTTTGATCCCCAGCACCCCATGTGGTTCCAAGTACAGAGCCAGGAATACGCCCTGAGCACTGCTGGGTGTGCAGCCCCACCCCCTCCAAAACTGGCTTTGACTTAAAGTGTAAACGAACAGATGAGACAGTTCTGTTTAAAGAAAAAAAAATTGGATTGTTTTCCAGGTAAATTCAATAAAACCTGAAACTTCTGAGCCCTGGAGTCGCTTAGAATGCTCTCTCGAGGGGCCCAGCTTGGGGCTAAAAGGATCTCAGCTGAGTTTCCTTTCACTGCTTGCCCTAATCCCTGGAACAATTAGCGAAGCCTTCATCTGAAACGGTTTCCTGCTAACTCAGAACAGAAGGCGGTACACCCCGCTAGTCTCCTGAGCCAGTCGGCTCTTACCTGCAGGTCGATGTAGCCATCATCCGAGCTGGCGAGCCTCGAGTACTTCACTTTACTACTGGGGATCCCAGTAGCCAGGTTGGTACGAGACGGCATCATAACACGTTGACACACCTCCAGTCTGGAAACACAAGAAACAAATGTCTGCAAGCCACAAGTGTGTTAGTCAAAGATATTGGCTGTGGGCTGCAAGCGTCCTGAAGTCCCCCTGCTCGAAGAACCTGTCACATCTGAGAAAGAGTAAAATCCTATATTTTCTTCAGTTTGTCTTGGTGGATTCAGAATCAAGACGTTTGCAAGCAATCAGGATATTTTTCTTTTCTTTCCCACAGTGCTGGGGGTCAAACCCAGGACCTCACGCATACAAGGCAAGAATGCTCTACCACAGAGACATCTCCCAGGCCCAGACCTCATACTTTTCTTGCTACCAGTGTTTCACCAGCTCCAAATTCTTCCAAAGTCCCATAGAGAATGGGTGGGAAGAGTTGATTTAAATCGAAGTCCGCTCTTGACACCAGTGTTGACATCCTTTCCAGCCTTTCTGTTGCGGTGCTGCCTAACGCAGAAGGTGCCAGGGTGAGAATCAGGGCCCAAGGAGAGAGCATGTGCTCCAGCCCGAAAGATTCTCTCCATCCTTCTGACCACCAAGGACCTATAAAGCCTCAAGTTGTAAACTTGGTTTAACTGTCTACAATTACTACAGCTTGGTTTTATGTCTGGGCCACACCCAGCATGTGCTGGGCTTACTGTGCACTCTGTGCTCAGGGATCACTCCTGGCGGCGCTGGGGACCACATACGTGATCAGGGATCAGAAGGGGTCACCCTTGAGCAATAGTACAGAGGGTATAGGGTTTACTTTGCACCACGCAGCTGACCTGGGTTTGATCCCTGGCACTCCATGTGGTCGGCTGAGCCCACCAGGAGTGATTCCTGAGTGCCGAGCCAGGAGTAACCTCTGAGCACTGATGGGTGTGACCCCCCAAAACAAACAAACAACACGCCCTCCCCCCAACCAAAATGGGGTCAGCTCCACGCAAGGCAAACACGCTAACCCCTGTATTATCCAGCACTAAGATTATTTTTTGATTGACTATAAGGCATTTGCCTTTACAAAGATGACCCCAATTTGATCCCCCATACCATATATGGTTCCCTGAGCACTGCCAACAGTGATCTGAGTAATGCTAGGTGTGGCCAAAAAAAGAAAAAATAAAAACATTTTCTACATGCTTTTATAGTTACGTGAAAACAATTTGTTTCTTGGGGCCAAAGCAACAGCAGGCAGGGTGTTCACCTTAAAAGTGGCTGACCTGCCCTTTTGGAAAACAGTATGGATGATTCTCAAAAAACTAGAACTTGAGCTCCCATTTGACCCAGCAATACCACTCCTGGGAATATATCCCAGAGAGGCAAAAAAGTATAGCCGAAGTGACATCTGCAATTGTCTGTTTATTGCAGCACTCTTTACAATAGCCAGAATCTGGAAAAAACCTGAGTTCTCGAGAACAGATGACTGGTTAAAGAAACTTTGGTACATTTACACAATGGAGTATTATGTAGCTGTTAGAAAAGACGAAGTCATGAAATTTATATACAAGTGGTACTACATGGAAAGTATCATGCTAAGCAAAATGACTCAGAAAGAAAGGGATAGACATAGAAAGATTGCATTCATCTGGGGAACATAAAGTAACAAAATAGGAAACTAACACCCAAGAATGGCAGAGATTAGTACCAGGAATCTTACTCAACGACCCGGAGGACAACCACACATGTTAGGGGAAGAGGGAGCTCAGAAAGAGAAGGGAACAACCAAATAAAGGGTGTTGGGAGGATCCTCCCAGGATGGGAGAAGCATGCTGAAAGTAGACTATAGACCAAACACGATTGCCACTCAATGCCTCTTTTGCAAGCCTCAGCAGCCAAAAGGAGAGAGGGAAATGCCCTGCCACAGAGGCAGGGTGGGATGGGGGCTGGAAGGTGGGAGGGATACTGGGATCCGTGGTGGTGGGAAATGCGCACTGGTGGAGGGATGGGTGTTTGATCATTGTATAATTGAAACCCAAGCACAAAAATGTGTAAGTCTGCAACTGTACCTCATGATGTCTCACTATTAAAAAAAATTAATTAAAAAAAAAAAAGTGGCTGACCTGAGTTTGATTCCTGATATATTTTCTATGGTTCCCTGAGAACCATCAGGAGTATATCCTGAGAGCTGAGAGTCAGGAGTAACTCCTGAGCATCGCCGGGTGTGGCCCCAAAACAAAAAAAAAAAAAATAGGAAAGTAAAACATGTTTCTTTTAAAGGTGTTTTTTTTTTTAATAAATAGATTTTATTTGGAGGATTTTTAAGGTGTGGAGACTTTGTTGTTACTGTGTTTGGCATATCGAGTACGTCACGGGGAGCTTGCTAGGTTCTGCCGTGCGGGAGAGATACTCTCGGTAGCTTGCGGGCTCTCCGAGAGGAGCGGAGGAATCGAACTCGGGTTGGCCATGTTGGCTGCGTGCAAGGCAAATGCCCTACTGCTGTGCTATCGCTCCAATGGAGACGTTACTGGGTCCGCTCGAGAAAATCGATGAACAACGGGAGGGCCTTTACCTTTACCTTTAAGGTGTGGAGGGGGAGCGAGTGAGAGATTAACGTACTCAAGCGAGAACACAGGCTTCTCCAAGGGCGGAGAGAGCCCCTACACACATCCTAACATTAGACACGAAAGCATGAAAGCACACATCTCAAGAGGGGAGATGTAGGTGACACATGTGCTCGGACACCACATGTGGTCCGCCACGTGGGCGTAAGCAGCACGTGAGTTCAGGCAGCATATGTGCCAAAAGTTTAATTTTTTTTTTAAGCTTTTTGGGTCACATCTGGCAATGCACAGGTGTTACTCCTAGCTCAGCACTCAGGAACTACTCCTGGCAGTGCTCAGGGGACCATATGGGATGCTGGGAATCAAACCCGGGTCAACCGCGTGCAAGGCAAATGTCCCCGCTGTGGTATACAGTCTCTTAAAACAGTTTTTGTTCAAAATATTCAAAGTTTACTTTGGTAATGATATCATGGCTATTTTGTCACTAATCTATAGGTAAGATTAAACAGTTTGGGGCTAGAGCAGTAATCCAGTGGGTTTGATTTCTGGCACCCCATATAGTCCCCAAGCCTACTAGGAGGCTGAGTGCAGACAGGAGTAAGCCCTGAGCACAGCACCTCCCAATCCCCCCCCCAAAAAAAAAAAGATTAAAAACATTTTAAATCAAAGGACACTTGCAATCTATACGTTTATTTATTTAGATTTTGGGCCACATCCAGTAGTGCTGAAAACTTAATCCTGGCTCTGAGCTCAGGGATCACTCCTGGTGAGCTTGGGGCACCACTGGGGTACCAAGGATTGAACCTGGGTCGGCCGTGTGCAAGGCAAACACCTTACCTACTGTATTCTTAGTTCGGTGCTCGTCTAAATCACTTTAAAAAAGGGAAAATTATCTCACAGTGATTGAATAAAAACATTTTTTTAAAAGGAAAAAGGGGGAAAATTAAACGTTTCGGTAACAGTAAAACAAAATGGAACCAAAAAAAAAAAATCCAAGGACCGGCCTTCCTCTGGAGTACCGCATGCAAATAGCCATTTCGATTATACTAATACAGCAATTACCTGGTGCTGGTTAGGCGCCAGGTACTGTTAGAAGAGCTTGGCACAAATGTAATCCCCAAGAGCAAAGAGCTGCGGGAAGAAGCCTGCAGTGAATCTAAAAGAACTAGCATTAGGAAGGAACTGGAGCCAAGCGCTCCTGTTTTTAGTAGTCACTGATGCAGAAAGCAAGTACAGAGGAGAAACCTAAGAAAAAAAAAAGCTTACATACCAGCTTAAAAAAAAAAAAGCTCAAACACCAGGTGAAGTGTTGCAATTCCGATTCCATGATCCTCTCAACTCTCAATTTAAAGTTCAAACTACCATGGGGCTGGAGTGATAGCACAGCGGGTAGGGCGTTTGTCTTGCAAGCAGCCGACCCGGGTTCGATTCCCAGCATCCCATATGGTCCCCTGAGCACCGCCAGGGGTAACTCCTGAGTGCAGAGCCAGGACTAACCCCTGTGCATCGCCGGGTGTGACCCAAAAAGAAAAATAAATAAATAAGTAAAGTTCAAAGTACCAATAGATGGGGGTTTTGAGAGCGATCGATCAGCTCTGATTATACCGGCCTTTTAGAAAATGTTGGGTTTTTTTTTTTTAAAGTTTATGTACTCTGCTACTAATTTTCCAGACTCCCGCATCAAAACATTAAATACCGCTGGGCGTGAGGCGCGATGAATCGGGAAACGCTTACGTGTGGCGAAGAGGAAGAACCGTGCAAGAGGAGGGAAAGCAAAAGCGCAGGCCGATATTTCCCAAGTCCCGGCCCGAGTTCCCCGCCGGCCTCTCCCGCTTCCAGCCGAGCCCCCCGCGCCCGGATGGGGCCAAGCGCCCCCGCCCCGCGCGCCCCGGCCGCGCACACCTACCTTCCCGCGGGTCTCTCTGCGGACCTGGCCGGGAAGCTCCGCGAGGCGACGCGCCGGGAGCCCGGAAGCCGCGCCGGGCGCTGGACAGCGGCCAGCCGCGCCCCAGGCGGGGCCCGGAGCGGGTGCTGCGCTTCCGGCCGGCTGCCCGCAGGCCTCCGCCGCGCTCCGCTAACTGCCGCCCCGCCCCCGGAACCGGAAGGCGGAGCGGCGCGCCGGAAGCGCGTCACCGAGCGCGCCCCGCCCCCCCACGCCGCGCGCCGGCCGTCTGTAGAGGCCCCTTGCGGACGGAGCGAGCTGCTGCCGGCGCGGGTGGGCAGGTGTCCTCGGCGTCTGCCCAGCCGGTTTTACAGGCGGCCACTCAGCCCTGGGACCCGCAGCGGCAGCGGCGCCTCCGGAGCCCAAATTTCTCAAGTCAGGCCTTTCGTTTTGTCTCACACTAGGCAATGCTCGGGGCCTACTCCTGGCTCTACAGTCAAGAATCACTCCAGGTGATGCTCAGGGGACCATCTGGGATGCCGCGTATCGAACCCGGGTCGGCCGCATGCAAGTCTAATGCTCTACCCGCTCTACTATCCACTCCAGCCCCCAATCAGGCCTTTTTTTCCGGGGGTGGGTGGAAGGAGGGTCACACCCGGCGATGCTCAGGGGGGACTCCTGGCTCAGGACTCGGGATCCACTCCTGGCGGTGCGCTGCAGATCTTATGGGATGCCGGGAGATCCGACCCGGGTCGGCTTCGTGCAACGCAAACGCCCTACTGGCTGCACTTGACGCCAGCCCCCAAGTCAGGCCTTTTAAACGCGAGGCCCTCCAGCAGTTCCATCACTCTTTTGGTGCTTATGTCATGCTTTCCTCAGTAAGAGGCGATCCCCTAATACACACACACACACACACGGGACACCTGGCCGTAAGTGGAGTTTTAAACGTTCGACTTTATTTAAGTATAATTTACATAAAGTACAAGTGGAGATTCTGACAAAGGCAATCTTGTAAAATTTAGAAAACAAACTGTAGATGGCCGGAAGGAGTCTACAGAGACAAACCTCAAACCGCCTAATGATGCTGGGGATTATTTTGTCCAAAGGCACTGCTTGGGCCCTATAATAAAACTTGCTCCGACTCCCTCAAAGATCACAAAAATCTAAAAAAAGAGGCTAATTTTACAAAGCACACAGAACATTCAATACATCACACACTGGAAAAAAGTTAATTTTGGCTAATGACAAAGGAATGAAATACATAGTATTCTACTCCTGACTCCTCGTTGAAATATCAAAGTAGTTGTGTGTAGGTAGTTGTCTGAACTCCCGGAAATAGCTCATCACTTACAGTATTTGTAACTTTTGTTATATTTAATGTATTTTTATCAGGCCACCTTTGACTGAAAAAAATGTAACAAAGGGTAGCTCTAAATTTTCTAGACTACAAACAGCCATTGTCCAAATGAAGGCACTGTTACTTGAAAACTTAACTTTTATTTAAGCTAAAAATAATTCTTAAAACTACTTGAGCATCAGAAACACACTGTATAACTCAATCGTAACACTCCCGTGTAAAGCAAGAAGTATTTCTATGTTAACAAGACCAGATTTAACTTTGGATTTTATTCTTCAAATTGTAGAGAATGAAGAGAAAAATAAGATTATTTACAGAAAATATCTACATATATAGCTAAAGGTAAAAATTTGGTGACAAAAGAGACTTAAGTAAATGCTGGCATCTCAAGCTGTTCTCAAAGAGCTCAGTTTCATTTTGTTGAGTCTTAAAAATGTTTAAGACCTTTCTTCATCCTCAATCTTGGGAGCCAAATAGTATTTCAAATGTCCCATATCAGCGATCTTATATTCTACAACTGGGGGAAAAAAACATGAGTCAATGACCAAGAGGTAGCATATATATTTATATATTACCTATGAACTATGAGTCAACAGATTATCTTACCCAGGGGAACATCTGCAGACATGCTGAGTGTGACAGTAGAAGAGAGCGGAGTGGCTTTTGTAAAGAAGTTCAGGTACCTCAGTGCAAAAGTTAGCTGGACTGGCTCATTCATGTCTATGGTAACCTAAGGGAGAAGATTGACGATATTGCAAACCATCAGTTTTACCCAGAAGTTTATAACATACATTAAAAAGCAAACAAAGCAAAAACCCTTTATTGGCCTAGTTTAACAGTGCTATGAAGACATAAAGCCAACTTTGAAGACAAAGCAAAAGAATCAAATATTGGGGGCTGGAGTGCACGGGTAGGGCTTTTGCCTCGCACACAGCAGACCTGAGTTCAACCTCCAGCATCCCTGACAGTACTCCGAGCACCGCCAGGAGTAATTCCTGAGTGCAGAGCCAGGAGTAACCCCTGTGCATTGCCAGGTATGACTCAAAAAGCCAAAAGAATCAAATATTGGGGCTAGAGTGCTAACTCCAAGGGCTGAGTATATGTTTTGCATGCCAGAGGCCTGGGTTTGATCGCCAGCACTACAGTACCCTTATTGTCCCTGGACAATAACCAACAAAGAATGAGGCTAGAAGTAGCCCCAAACCCAAAATGGAAAAAAAAAAAAAAAAGCAAACAAAAAACCCAAAAACCCAAGTATTTACTCTGCCTCTACTGTATCTCAAGTAACCTCAAGTGGTAAGAAACCCCTTTATGGAAATATTTCTAACAAACCAGGTAATAAATGAAGGACCAGGGAGATAGCTGGGACGTGGGGGCTCACATCACCATCTGTAGTTTTCATCCCCCAAAACACTAAAAATAATCAAGCCTCTAGAGCTACAGAAAAGATTATAGCAAATATGGTGTAAAGGAACATGCCGACATAGTACAATTGGCATCTTAGAAATTTAGATTCCAGGAAACTTTGACAAATGATCCAGTTTCTCCAACAAATAGTCATAAAAAGGGGAAAAGCTAAACTGGAAAACTGAGTAAAAGACAATGAATAGGCATATTAAGCAACTACAATGCATAAACCTTTTAAAAATCTGAATTGGGGCAAGAAAGATAGTACAGAGCTTATAAGGTGCTTGCTTGCTTGCATGTGGCTAACTCTAGTACCTATGCATATGGCCCTGTAAGAAATTCAGGAATAAGCCAGGTGTGGCCAAAATCATCCCTTGCTCCCTCCAAAACCCCCCTGAAGATCTTGATTCCAATTGTTCTCAAACAACCAAGGAAACAGAAACACACACACACACACACACCCCCTTTAGCGTCACCCTTTTTTTTGATACATAAAAAAAAATTTTCTATATGAATTAATATTAGGTTGGAGTGCTCTGCATCCCAAAACCCTGGCACCACATGGTTCCTGAAGCCCTGACTCTATGGTACCCCAGGTGTTATCCAAAACAAAAAACAAAAACAGAATAAAGTCATTATGGGTTGGGGATATGACTCAGAAGGTTGGAGCAGATAAGTAAGGTGGCCCAGTGTTGGATCAACTGCACATCATGGCCCAGAGTAACCCCATTACTCAGGAGGTTCTCAAACTTATGAGAAACTAAATTGTCCCTCTGAAAAACTCCTCTTTTTAAGCAAAATAATGGGTTCCCCAAATGCACTGAAACAACCATCTCATCCCGCTTAGTTTGCCCCAATCAGAAATCAAGGCTGGTAGGAGAGGAACTTAAGAATAGCTAAAAACACCCCACATGGTCCCCGATCTCAGCAAGGAGTCTCACCTGAGCACATCAGGCTTAACTCCAAAACGAAGTAAAAAAAAACCAAAAATGTACTTAAATGAAGAACATCTTAAAGATGGGCCAGAGATAGTACAGTGGCCCCCGAGCCCACCAGGAGTGATTCCTAAATGCAGAACCAGGAGTTACCCCTGAGCACCTCTGGGTGTAGCCCTCCAGACAAAACACAAAACCTTAAAAATATTTAACAAATAGTGTTCCTTCCACTTCTGTCCCTTAAATGTGTGTTCTCTAAGGACCCTCTTGGGTTTACCCGCAGTAAGGTAATATAAAGATTACATAAGAGCGCCTAACAGCTAGATTTTTACCCCTAATTAAGTGCCATTGTTGAGCACTATTGTCCTACGCTCATTATTTAATAAAAGCAGTTAAGTACTACCAGAAGGTTGAAGATTAGCCTTGCTCAATGCCCTAAATCCATTATTCTGTGGTTTATAAAGCATTGAATTTGCATTTCAATTTCACAAAAATCACAAGTTAAACAAATCACTCTGACTTCAACAGCACCTTTAGCATTCAAACTACTTAGAATGGCAATTGTCTTTCCCCTTTCCATTTTCTTTAATTTTAGCAATTACCTTGCCCAAGAGTTTGCAGCTGTCCCAATTCATGTTAAAACAGATGATGATTTTGGGGGGTGTAGGGGCCTTTGAGAGATTGAGTCCTCACAAAGGGGACAGTCCTGAGAGACTGCAGGAGTGTCACTGCCACACCCACGAGGGGAAAACGTGGTGAACAGGAAGCAGCAGGGCTCCATTACCAAACCTGCCCTCCCTCATGAGCACCAGCCTAAACAGACTGAGAAACTAATGGTAAGCTCTACTGCAGATCTTCCCAGAGTATTTCCCCAGAACTTGGAACTACTTACAGCTTCCTCCTCTTTATCAACATTACTTGTCTGCGACAACTTAATATTTCCATTCCCAAGCTCTCCGCTTGCAGAAAATTTCACTCCATCTTTTGCACAAGAAATTACCACAGCATCTCCAATGTGACTGAGATCTCGGCATATTCGTGCAAACTCTCCAGAAGGCATTTTTACCACACAACTGTACTCTTGTTCCTATAACAAAGGGAAAAGACGTAAAGTATTAATTATTGGAAATATTTGGTACCCTCACTCTCCAAAGAACCAGTATCTAAGTAAGATCTCAGAATTTAAAGTGTTCTGATTACTTCGAGGTATCACACATTATGTCATTTAATATACCTCAAATCATTAAAAATAAACTCAGGAGCTGGAGAGATACAAGGCACGGTGGATAGGGTCTTTGTCGTGTATTGTGCTGACCCGGGTTCAATTCTGGCACCCCATTTAGCCCCCCACCCCCAGTCCTGCAAAGGATGTGATCCCTGAGTGCAGAGCAAGGAGGAAAACCTGAGCACCACTGGGTGTTCCTCCCCCTCAACACAAGAATAAAACCACTAAAACCAAATCCGGATTATCCCCGTTTCCTGAGTACCACGAGGAGCAGATTCCAGCACATTTTGTGCCCTCTCATGCAGTTAGCATCCAGTGTGGTCCCCTGACCACCACCAGGAGTAATTCTTGAGTGCAGAGCCAAGAGTAACCCCTGAGCATTGTCAGTGTGATCAAAAAAGTCAAATTAGAGCTTACCCTTTGACAATATACACTATAAAAGACAATAAAACCCCAGTCCTTACCTCAATCACCATCCAGAGCTAAATCAAGAGAACATTAGGGTATTTCGTACAGAGCTATCAATATACGAGACCATTTCAAACTCTAACACCTCTTCTAATTTGGTACTGCTAAGCTTGAGTCTTAAATTTCTGCCAACACAGCTTTCAAATACAAATGATATGTTCTAGAATTTTAAGAAGATGCAAAGTAATTAAAAAAAAAAAACCCTTGTTTTTGGGCCACACCCAGTGATGCTCAGGGGTCACTCCTGGCTTTGCACTCTGAAATCACTCCTGATGGTGTCTTGAATTCAACCAGTGATCCGTTTTAGGATATGTAGTTTAATGAAATTCCAGACATACCAGCGTCAACTATTAAAACCACTCTGGAACTGACTTGAAGTAAACAGAAAATCTGTTTCGAAGGATTGCAATGAACTTCATATATAGCAATCATGACCATAGAGTACAACCAGAAACTGATACTCACTGGAATTCCAAGTTGTTCAACATCTAAATCCATCAATTTCATTTCATAGTCTGAAACTTTCTCTTGATCTACAAAAGAATGCAAATGAAAAGCTTGTAACTTTACAAGCATCACAAATACCTCATATTTTGAGAAACACTGATACTGAATTTTCTTTAACAATCATTAAGATGAATGACTTACTTGGAGCTTCAAACACAAGGGCCAATGTGTCCGCATTATCTTCAGCTCTCAATGTAATGATGTCTTCATTGCCAGCACATTTCAGTATTTTGGACATACTAGAACAGAGAAGGCAGAGGGTTTAAAAAAGACACCTCCTCAAGATGGTCTTTCTCTTTTTTAGAACATCAGGCTTCCTGATTAATTGCAGAAAGGTATGTAAACAGGTCCAAATGTAGAATCCTACCACACAGTTATTTATACTTAAAAGCCTACCCTGAAAGAAAAAGCAAACCAAAGGTTACCCCTGGATGAACACATAGGCTGTGGGGTTCACAACAAAAATTAAGACAATCTAGGACCAGAGCGATAGTACAGTGGGTAGGGTGTTTTGCCTTGCACATGGCTCATCCAGGTTTGATCTCCACCATCCCACATGGTTCCTGAGCACACCACCAGGAGTAATTCCTGAGTGCAGAGGCAGGGATAACTTTTTTTTAAAAAACATATTTTACAAGCTTAAAAAATAAAAAACAAAACAAAACAAAACCCTTAGAACATTTCAGACACAGTAACAGGTAAGAGGTTGTCAGTATCCAACGCACTGTCCTGGATAATGAACTCTCAAATCCAGAACCTACAAAGATCCTTCCAGATAACTTCGTGGGCCGGAGAGGCAATATGGTGGCCTAAAGGTCGAGTCTTGCACAGATGGTTCTATTCCCGGAACCACACAAAACCCCTTGAACACAAGCAGCAGGAATGATCCCTGAGCAACATCGGATGTAACTGACCCCCAACAACTTTATAATAAGAAAAAAGGCAGAAACATCCTATTTTCCCTAGATAGGCTGATAGAACCTGAGGATGGTTAAAAAGCTCTTAGGGGCAAACAGGATCAAAGCTGCATTTAAGGGAATCGGTGGGTTTTTTTTTTCTGATTGGGTGGGGATTGGGGGTGGGTTTCCAAGCGGTACTCCGAAGCCCCGGGGCACCCCGGGGGAGCTTTTGGGGGCTAAGTGGTGTGCCCCCAGGGATATAACAGTCGCTCGCCTACAATGCGCCTGAACCCCTGGGCCATCGGCTCGTAATGACCGAAGAGTCCGGCAAGTTTCGCGGGTACCGCAGGAAAGCGCGTCATTTTCCCGCCACTATCCGCTTTGTGACTTTGGCGCGGAAGGGGCCGGTTCGCGCCGCCGCCAGCGCGCGCTTTGCGAACCGCGCGCTCCGCTGGACCCGCCCCCACCCCGCGGCCCAGACCAATGAGGAGGCGCGGAGGGCTCCCTGCAGCCAATGAGAGCCCAGCTCGCAGGAGCTCCCGCCAAGAGTCCGGGATGGGGGGTCGGGGGTTGGGGGGGGGCTGCGGCCCAGCTTCCCGCGGCCCCGTGGCTCACCTGGTGAGGTTCACGCCCATGGCCAAGTTGCGGTCGCAACGGTACGTGTCGAAGCCCTCGGAGCGCAGTGTCATCTGCACCAGGGAGACGTGGGACGAATCCATGCTCTGCAAGTTCACGCCACTCGAGCTGATGTCCCAGCAGGCCTCGTTGATGAGATCTTTCAGGGCCTCCAGAACCTTCTTCAGGATGGAGCCCTGGACCAGGCGCGCCTCGAACATGCTGGCGGAGTCGCAGGAATTCAGCTGTGAGAGGACGGGAGGAGCGTAGCCGGCTTAAGCCTTGCGGGCCGAGGGCGAGGGGCGGCAGACGCAGCAACGGTCCCTCCGGGATGGAGGCGAAGGAACCCGGCCGGAGAGCTGCGCAACCGTTCAATACCGCCGCGTTTCTGAGCGCGCGCGCGCTCCGCCTCGCGCCTCTTATGCCGACGTCACCACGCCGCCCCGCCCCCCCGGGACGGAGCGGCCCCGGGACCAATCACGCGTCTGCTCCGCGCGAAACCCGCCCCCCTCAAGCCGGACAGCCTTCGGAGCGGACGGCACCGGGGCGGGACCAAAGCCTGGGAGGGCGGAGTTAGCGGCTGCTGGACTCCCCGCCCTTTGTCTTCTTCCGGAATCTGGGAGCTGGGCATGTCTGGGCATCATTGAGCACCATCTCCAGCAGCCCCTAACGCCCGCCAGACTCCTATAAGCAGTCATTCATACCACTTCCTTAAGCTGCTTTTTCTCCCGCACGAACCACATTTTTAAAAGACAAGAAGTTTATTTGGTAAACATTTCTGCAATGAACTTACAAACTAAGTTTAGGCTACCTACATCCTTTTCTCTTGGTACCACTTAGCAAGATCAATTTGCCGAATTTGTGCTCTGTTTCTTGTCTTTTGTTTTGGGATCCAGGCATCCAGGCTCCCAGCGATGCTCAGAGGCCCAAGAGATTCCAGCAATCGAACGCAAACCTATTCCAGCCCTTTGAGCTATCTCCCCAGCAAATCTACCAATTTCTTGTAATTAGAAACACCTTTCAGCAGCAGGTGGCTTTTGAGACCAGTTTCTTAAAAGCAGTATTGTTGGGGTGGTGTTGCAAAATTTGTACAAAAATTTTGATGTTACTGAATTCTAAAATACTGCTCTTTGTGGCTTGCTCTTCAAGCCCATCTTCTCTCTTGAACAGGTATCTCGCTTATCTCTAAGCATCGTTTTTTGCTTCTTTTCCCACTCTGGAGAAGCCGATTTTTCTCTCTTGTACTCATACTTCCTCACTCTCTCCTCACGTCTAAGTTTCATTCAATAAAACTATCCTCTCTCTCTCTCTCTCTCTCTCTCTCTCTCTCTCTCTCTCTCTCTCACACACACACACACACACACACAGCAATTTATACTCCAGCCAATAGTATGAGCAAAGTCACTTCACCTTATTTTCCTAACTACAGATATTAACAATAACTTGTTTAGTGGGAAGGTTGGGGGGCCACATCCAGTGATGATCAGGGGTTACTCCTGGCTCTGCATTCAGGAATCTCTCCGAGTGGAGCTCAGGAACATGTGGATGCCCAGGAGTGAACCTGGTGGGCCATGTGCAAGACAGGTGCCCTGTCCACTATGCTGTTTTAAAAACCTGCTCATTTGTGTTAAGATTTAAGTTTACATATAAAATTGTTTACATATTTAAAAGCCAGCTGGGCTGCTTTGATAAAGGTCTTGACAATTTCTGCTCTTTTTTCCCCTTCTTGACTGAATGCACTTTACATGGGAAGGAAGAGAGAGCTAAGAGGGCTCCACGCTTTGTGTGGAGGCTAGACTGATCCCTGAGCACCACTGGTGTGGGCCCACAACCAGAATAAAGCAAAACCTCACCTTTTTTTAGGGCTGAAGTGAGCCGTAGAGCATTTGCCTTGTGTGCAGCCAGCCCGGCTGAGCCGAGTTCGATTCCTCCACCCCCTGTCAGAGAGCCCAACAAGCTATGGAGAGTATCTCACCTGCGCGGCAAAGCCTGGCAAGCTACCTGTGATGTATTCAACATGCCAAACACAGTAACAACAAGTCTCAAAATGGAGACATTACTGGGCCCGCTCGAGAAAATCGATGAACAACAGGAGGACAGTGCAGTGCTACACCTTATATTACTCATCAGTCTCCCACTCTTCTATGCACACACACACATATATATGTAGATATATATACATATATATATATTTCTCTTACTCTTGATTACAGCATTTTCCTTGAGTTGCTTTTAATGACTTGGACCTTAGAATTCTTTTACTCTGCTGTATAGATTTAATTCTATCTATCCTATTATAGGAATTTGTATTCCTGAGTCAAAAAATTCATCTATAAAATCAAATCTAGAATATTCTCAGCGGGATCAGAGAAATAACACTGGGGCTGCTAAGGTGCTTGTCTTGCAAGTGGCCAACCCTGATTTAATTCCTCACACATCAGGAATGATCCCTGAGCACCGCCAGATGTGGCCAGATGTGGACCCCAAAACAAAATGTATTATCATTGATTACGACTTCAGATGTTTCCTTTCCCTTTTCTAGATGTTCTATTTCTATTAGATATACCTGTTTCATTGAGTTTAAGATATCTTCAGTTGTAAGACACAACATGTCATGTGGCATTAGAAAATAAAATGTTCAGGTATCATTCATGTAAGACAGGTGTTCTACCACCCAGATACCTTCGCACCCCCCAAAACACTATGGTTTGTAATTTCTACTTGGGGGCCAGAGAGATAATTCAGTGGGTAGGGTGGGTATAATCCCTGACATCCCATGGTCCCCCAGCACTGCTGGAGTGATTCCTGAGTCAAGAGTAACCCCTGAGCATCATTGGGTGTGGCACAAGCCTCTTACCCCCCAAAAAAGAACTTCTATTTTGTCTTTTTTTTGTGGGGGTGGGATGATGCAGGAGTGTTTGGGCTTCACCTGAAAGTGTTCAGGAGTGACCCTGGAAGTGCAGTGCTTGGGTGCCCATATGTGCATGTGCTGCTGGGTATTGAACTGGTGTTGGTGGGATTGCATAGCAAGTGCCTTCCTGTACTATATATTTTTGGGGTTTATTTTTGGTTTTTGGATCACACCAGCGATGCTCAGGAATCACTGGTTATTCCTGGATCTGCATTCAGGAATCACTCCTGGTGGTGTTCAGGGGACCAAATGGGATTCTGGGGATTGAATCTAGTAGAAGGCCTGCAAGACAACCACCTTACTCGCTGTACTATCACTCTAGTACTATCTTACTATATTTTGTAATCCATTTTTTAGGGGAGGAGGGCACAGCCAGGCCATACTCAGGGCTTACTCCTGGCACAGGGATCATCCTGGAGGAACATATAGGATGCTAGGAATCGAACCCTGGTCAGTTGCATGCAAGGCAAATGTCTTCCCCACTGTCTCTCTGGACTTGCTTTCCTTTCTTAGGTCCCTAAAATCTCTATTCTTTTGTGAAATGTGTATATATACTTTCCTTCAGTGAGAACGTTTGCTTTATTAATTAATAAAACATGTGTTTTCCTGCTGTTTGTGAACTTTGCTTACATAACAATTTGGGTTTATTGCCAAGTCAAAGTAATCTATTTGAAGACATGAGAGCATACGAATGTCTATGATCTGGGGTCAGAGAAGACTCTTACAAAGAGTTGGCATTTGATTGGAGAACCTTGCAGCAGGATGAAAGAAAGAATATTTTATTTATTTATTTATTTTTGCTTTTTGGGTCACACCTGGCGATGCACAGGGGTTACTCCGGCTCTGCACTCAGGAGTTATTCCTGGCGGTGCTCAGGGGACCATATGGGATGCTGGGAATCAAACCTGGGTCGGCTGTGTGCAAGGCAAACGCCCTACCCGCTGTGCTATCTCTCCAGCCCCTTATTTATTTATTTTTTAAAATTTTTATTAGTGAAACCATGAGGTACAGTTGTAGACTTATAAATTTTTGTGCTTGGGTGTCAGTTATACGATGATCGAGTACCATCCCTCCACCAGTGCCCATTCTCCACCACCACTGATCTCAGTATCCCTCCCACCCCCCACTCTCCCCATCTCACCCTGCCTCTGTGGCAGGGCATTCCCTTTTGTTCTCTCTCTCCTTTTGCATTCCCTTTTGTTCTCTCTCTCCTTTTAGGGTGCTGTGGTTTGCAAAAGAGGCATTGAATGGCAATCATGTTCAGTCTATAGTCTACTTTCAGCGTGCATCTCTCATACTGGGAGGATCCCTCCCAACACCCTTTATTTGGTGTTCCCTTCTCTATCTGAGCTGCCTTTTCCCCTAGCATGTGCGGCTGGCCTCCAAGCCATGGAGAAAACTTCCTGGTATTTATCTCGGCTATTCTTGGGTGTTAATCTCCTATTTTGTTACTTTATGTTCCCCAGATGAATGCAATCTTTCTGTGTCTGTCCCTCTCTAAGAAAGAATATTTTAGATGGACAGAATATCATATTTTTTGTTTGGCAGGTTTTAGCTTTGGGGCCACACTGGTGGTGGTCAGAACTTACTCCTGGGCTCTGCGCTCAGGGATCGCTCCTGCAATGCTCAGGAAACAATATGATGTGCTGGGGATCAAGCCTGGGCTGGCTGCGTGTAAAGGCAAGTAGCCAGTCTGTTGTGTTATCTGGCCCCAATAATAGCATCTTTCAGACAATGGTGTTGGAGGTTAATGTTCTTGCCTTGCATGCAGCTGACCTCAGTTTGATCCTGGTGGTAGCTATGATTCCCTGAGCTTCACCAGGAGTCACTTTTCAGTACAGAGCCAAGGAGAGGGCGAGAGAGAGAGAGAGAGAGAGAGAGAGAGAGAGAGAGAGAGAGAGAGAGAGAGAGAAAAGAGGAGAGAAGAGAGAGGAGGAGGAAAGTTGATATTGGTGATGGGACTGGCACTGGAACATGGTATGCCTAAAACTCAATGATGAATAACCATAAATCAAGGTGGCTAATAAAAAATAAAATAACAGGGGAATTTATAATTTGGGATAAAGCTCATTAGTAGAGCACTTATCTTGTGTGTGGACCCTGAGTTTGATCCCTAACACTGTAGGGGGAAGAGAGGGTATCAACTAAGCCCAAAGTGTTAGTAAATGTGTTATTTTATTTTGGGGGAGTTTTGAGTCACACCCAGTGATGCTCAGGGCTTACTCCTAGCTCTGCACTCAATAATTACTGCTGGATAGGGCTGGAGTGATAGCACAGTGGTTTGATTCCCAGCATCCCATATGGTCCCCCGAGCACCGCCAGGTGTAATTCCTGAGTGCAGAACCAGGAGTAACCCCTGTGCATTACCAGATGTGACCCAAAAAGCAAACAAACAAACAATTACTGCTCAGAGAAACATATGGGATGCCAGGAACTGAACCTGGGTCAGCCACAATCAAGGCAAATG